ACAGGCACTGTCTCCATTGTGCAAATAAATGATGTAGGACAGCTTCCGTTCCCATTGTGACTATCACACCTCCATATCTTTAACCGGTGTGGGTTTATATACACACAGTGCAGTGTTTCTCAAATGGGGCTTCTGATTTTGAAAGAAATACCTGCTTGAAAAAATAAACAAGCACTCCTAATCCAGTGGCCAAGGATTTGTATTTATTTTCATTTCTGCTTTTTGTTTTATTTTAAAACACTTTCATAAACTGCTCGGTGTAGACCAGAAGCTAAGCTAGATGACTTTCATGTTTTCATATGTGCATTCTCACAGGAGATAGAGTAAGGAGAGAACAAAGGATCGTATTCATTGAGGATGGTGTGCAGATTCCTTTCGGGTGAAGAGAGTGTCCTAGAAGTGCTTTTCCTATATATATCTGTGAAGCACAGCCCTTTCATAGTTACTAACTGCTCCTCAAATCATCTTCACTTCCTTCCTGACAAAATCATTATTGGATTTACTTCTGGAATAAGTCCAGAAGTGAATAACTTCTGGATATATCTTTATGGGGATACCCATTGCCTTGCATTCTTGCATACTCTGAATGAATTAATGTGTTCCCCTTTCACTATATTCTGAGCGTCCTACTCATTATGGACTATTCAGAATAATTAAGAGATAGGCCTTTGTTCTTATGAAACTTGTAATATGGTTAAAGGCGAAAAAATGTGCACCACAAAATTATTCAAAGAGGAGTAAATACCACCTTGTGTGCTACAAATATGAATGCTATTGAATTACAAAAAGAAATGAGATCTCTCTGGCTAAAAAGAAAGTATTCATTAAGAAATGAAAATAAGCTTGGAAAGAAATTTTTAAAAGTGAATTAGTGGACATTATAAAGAAATTCACTATCGGAAAGAAAGAATAAGACCAGAATAAGACATGGAAGTAATGATGGGTGCTACAAGGAACTGAGGACAGGAGTTACGAAGAGGAAGATCTGACTCTGGTATTTCTACAGGTTGTTCCCACCATCTGCCCTTGAACGTAAAACATTGTCCTGGGCTGCTGGCACAACGTATATTAAAATGTTTATTAAATATTCACAAGAATAAAACAAAGAGTACAGGTTTTTGTTTGTAACTTTTATTCAAATATAGAAACAAAATAAATTTACAACTAAAATATAAACAAATCTATGCATCATTTAACCTTTGTTGAATGTGTAGCTTCTTTTCACTGAAATAAGGCATCTCCATGAACATAACATGGGACACAGACAACCATGTATGTGTGTGTTCAAGTGTGTACAGAACATCTGCCTGTAGCACTTTGTGCCATGTGATGACTCAGTCCCCCTAACACTTTATACAAGTGACTTCAAAACTTTTTATGTACATTATTGCATGGGGATGTCATTTGGTTTTCATCTGGCTGGAACGTATCATTAACATATTACATTTATCTTTGTTCTCAGCAGCTGGAAACTGTTAAAGCTTTGAAAATCATTCAGAATCTATGATAAACACCAATACTAGCAATAAAGTTGATCTTCCCCATGATCCCAAATATAGTTTATTAATTTACATTATTATCATGAAAGCAAAACACAATAATCCAAGGAATCGTTGTATAAAACTGATTGATCACCAGAAATGTACCTATTCAACCAAACCTATGAGAAACATTGCAGTAAGCTGTCTGGGAATATGGATTTAGAAAGGCAGGATTTGGGGGCACCTGGGTGGCTCAGTTAGTTGAGCGTCCAACTCTTGATTTCAGCTCATGTCATGATCCCAGGGCCATGGAATGGAACCCGGTGTTGGGCTCTGCACTGAGCATGGAGCCTGCTTAAGATTCTCTCTCCTTCTGCACCTCTACCCTGCTTTCTCTATCTTTCTTAAATAAATAAATAAATAAATAAATAAATAAATGGCAGGATCTAATTAACTGAACAATTTTCACCTGCTTGGGCAAGCAAGAGAATCTGAATAAGGAGCCTGAAAAAGGAAGTGAAATTTGAAACAGAGTAAAATAGTACACATTTGTTGAAATAAAGGGGAAAAGTATTAGTCAAAAGAAAATTACTTGAAGGACTTGTTCTTTTTTGCAGGTAATGTTGCATGCCATGTTGTAGAAAGGTTAACAGATGACATGATGGTTGTAAAGGAAAGAGTATCTTCTTACAGTTGTGTAAGAACTGATTGAAGAGGCCTGATTGAAGAGATGACACTTTCATTCAGTCTTTTCCAGTCAGGAACCAGCAGTAGGGAGGTCCCTACAGGCACGTAGAACAGCATAGGTCCTGAAACAGAATTAAGCCGGGCACAACAGCAGACACAGAAAGCAGGAAGATTTGGCAGGAATCTATCATGAAATAAAGAATCAGTCACAAAGTAAGAGAGTCTAACACTGTGGGAAAACGGTGAGATGGAACGAATGTTTCCCACCATCACCACAGAAGAAATGTTGATAGGACTTTGTGATGTATTGGCTATGAGGACATAATAATGAGCAAGAAATATAACAACACATGAGGACAGAGGGACTAGAAGAAGAAGAATGTAATTGTCATGAATAGGGAAGGTTGTACATGGGGTGGGGGTGCTGTTTGTGTGGAGCGACCCGGAATTGTAAATAATGAAGGATGATGTAAGTTTCAGTCAGTGTTTTGTAATTAACGGGAAATAGAAAACAATGGATGATCTCTGTGAGAGATGCATCTTAGGGAAGCTAGTTGAAATGAGGAAAGAGAAGAGTTATCAAATGAATGCAAATAAAACTTGAGATCCAGGAAGGATGGGGGATGGTGCCTTAGAATGAGGCATCTACACCAAGAGACCAAGAAGGAACCAAGAGGAGAGCCAGGATAGTAAAGTGGCAGGTACTACACAGAAAAAAGTTTAAGAAGACAGGTCCCTCTGTGTCAAATACAGCCACAGGTTTAAAAACAATAGAGGCTGTGTTTCAGAGGCAGAAACATCCAAGCCGTGGTGGTGAATTTATGGAGAAAGTAGTGGTAAACGTGAGCAGAGACTCCAAGTCATTAAGAGTTACTGGCTGTGGCAGGTGCCAAGGGTACCTTCTCAGCAAAACCTATCAACAAGTAAGCGACTGTTTTATGTAGTGACGTATGTAGTATGTTTTATGGTGTGACGGCCCTTCCTGATTCCTCATTGGAGAACTTTTTGAATTAGTGGCTCTAGCATTTTGCCTACTTGGACGTGGTCCTCCCAAGTCAGATGAAGCCCCATGAAGGATTTATGGGGCCCCTTCATCCAACTGTGTTACTCTGAAGCTGCCGAGTAGTTAATTTAGCTTACATGGCTGGAAAAAAAAAAAAAAAAAAAAAAACACCTCTGGGTGTCTTGTAATTTGTCCTTAACATCCCAGTTTGAGATACAATCTCTTACCACACTGCTAATGCCATTTTGCCATATTATTCACAGATTATATAAATGAGTACACATGAGTAATTACATCGCAACTTTGGACATGCCGGAACGGGTTAAGGTTCAGGAGAGCCGAGCCCAGCAGGTGTTGCCTGGACCTGCCACTGGGACAAAAATGTGCCAAAGTGGTGGTTTTTGTCCGAATGCCCCTTTTATACTGGCAAGGGAGCATATTGCCTTTGTTTTGTATTCTCAAGGGAGAAGTCAGCCAGTAAGGCGTGAATCACCTTTATACCATCATGGTATGATCTGGGGTCATCTGAAAGCACAAACCAGTTTATTTTCCACTGTAGGAATATATGTAGGAAAGATAGAGGTCGATGTTGACAGCACTGTACAAAGTGTTCTCACTTATATATTGTTTTCTGTAAACTTTGCATCATTCAAGTGACATAAGATTATCTCCATTTTTACAAAGAAAACTAAGGCGGAGAATACACATAAATGTCCTGGATGACGCCATTAGTAGCGGTGCCAGAATTTCAATCTAGATTTGTCTAATGTCAAATCATATACTCACTAGTACAACTATCGATGATAAAATATGAACTGTTTATCAAAAGCTTTATTGTGCTCCTCTTACCTTGAATTGTAATTATTCATAGAAATAATGTGCATAACTTATTATTTCACAAACGTGAGAAGGTATTTGAGCCCTGAAGTTATATGCAAACTTAAGAATTAGTAGAGTGTGAAATTCTTCAGAGAAGAATATGGATGTTTCTTGCTTAATTTTAAGTCTCTGTTAAATAGAAAGCCTTGTACTATAAGGAATGCTCACTTAATTAATGGATGATTTTTTTGGGGGGGGAAGAAAGAGAGGGAAGGTGTCTCCCCTCGCTTACTAGAGATCCTTATGGAGACGTTGGTCTTTATGATCTGAAAGGAGTAAGAACCTCTGAACTCCTAATGGGAGAAATGGCATGTGTTCTGTCTTCTAAGAACACAATAAATTTGATAGATCTTCATTTTACTCTAACTTTGAGTGCTGCACTGAACTAGATGCTTTTTTTAAAAAAATATTTTTATTTATTTCTAGGAGAGAGAGAGACAGCGTGAGCAGGGGAGGGTCAGAGAGAGAGGGAGACACAGACTCTGAAGCAGGCCCCAGGCTCTGAGCTGGCAGTCAGCACAGAGCCCGACGCGGGGCTCGAACCCACGAACCGCGAGATCATGACCTAAGCGAAAGTCGGACGCCTAACCGACTAAGTCACCCAGGCGCCCCACTAGATGCTTTTTTCTAATGACTAATTGAAATCATGAGGGAGAAAGCTTTTTCACTCTGCTTTTACTAATATTGTTGGGAAATGACCTCAAAATCATTAATAGGAAGTGATCTCAAGTAAATAAGTTGGACACACCCACACCTGATTTAATTAGTCATTCCCCCTCTCTCAGTCACTCTCTCACTCCCTTGTTCTCTCTCTCTCTCATGGATATATGACTCTCAGGATTTCATCATGTGATAACAAAAATTAAAAATCTGAAGATAGTGAAAGGGTTATAGGTTGGCGTTCTCTCCTAAATACTACTCCATTGCCATTCATTTTCTTGTTCCTGCAGGTGAAGACGGATGACAGAGTGGTCAAGATGGACCTCGGTTTACTCTTCCTTAGGGTACGAAAAATGGACGCTGGGACTTATTTTTGCCAGACAGTAGAGCATGGTTTTGTCCATACTGTGCGCAAAATTACGCTGGAGATAGTGGAAGAGGAGAGAGTAGAGGAGATGTTTCACAAAGACTTTGAAGAGGACGGGCCTCCCAAGATGCCGTGTCCTGCTCAGAGCGTCATCCCACCCGGGGCAAAACCGTGGTACAAGGAATTCTTGCAGCTGATTGGTTACAGCAACTTCCAGAGAGTGGAAGAATACTGTGAAAAGGTCTGGTGCACAGATAAGAAGAGGAAAAAGCTTAAAATGTCACCTTCCAAGTGGAAATACGCCAACCCACAGGAAAAGAAGTCCCGTCCGAAAGCTGAGCACTATCGCCTGCCCAGGCACGCGCTGGCCTCCTGATGGGGTGAAACCATCTCCTGGCTTCTGAAGAATTCGTGTTTGGAACCAAAAACAAACAAACAAACAAACAAACAAAACGAGAAACCATCCAGCTTCTTTGTGTCGCTTAAGAGATTTCTGTAGTGCAGAAATATGACTGTGAAGGTATTATGATAAATTATTCTACATGCTCATTTGACTGGTTAAAAATCATGTAAAATTAGCTAATTTTTCTAAACAAGCATATTACTCAATGGCTTCACGCTATATTTATCAAAAAGTGACCTTGGCTGTAGTTTTGAGTACTTGGCTGCTTTTCCATGCAATTATTATTTTCTCTTGGAAGACTTGTGGTTATTGGGATATTGAAGAAATAGAGATGTTAATAATCATGGGAAAATTAAATATATATTTTAATCGTTCTGAATTCTACCTTTCCACCACAATGTATAAGGTAAAGAATATCACATACTTTAACATTCTCATATGAAGTGTCTGTACTTTTTAAGAACTATTGTATTAGTGAAAAAATCTATTGTATTAGTATCTAAGCCGTGAGTTTTATGAAGCCAGGTGTGTTGAAACTATTGTAAACCATGAAAGAACACTGTGGTCACCTTGAGGCTCGTGCCCTTCCTAAAACATTCGTTAAGCCACTTTCGCTATAGTTACATTTCATGATGAAAACAAATCCTTTGAATTTCACTCCAGCGCAGAAAGAATGAACTTTAGATAACTTCTCAGAAAGATGGCAAAATATGCCAAGAACAGATGAAGTTACAGTTAGAAATCTAACTGAAAAAGTTTTTGCTACCCTCTTGTGGTAGAAAAAGTATATTCTCCTTTTTCTCTTTTTACAGACTAGTAAATGTGAAAGCAGTTTCTGTTAATATATCCTGTCCATTTTCAGGGGGAAAAAAACCTTAAAAATGTCTCAATGTTTATGTCATGCTTTAAGATGGAAATAATGTGTTTATGAATAATTTATTACCTCACAGGCCAAAAATGAAGATATCATAGCCCTAAAGCTCTACTAAAACTTAAATTTTATGCCTTCTAAATAATCTTCCCTGAAATATAAAAGATAGTCCAGAAACATATGTTTATTACTTTAAAAATATTAAAGCAGCTTGTGCTCAGATATCACATTTTCCTCACTATTTTATGTTAACAAATAACAAAATTGTTTCACTAGGTCATTTAACTACCGAGATATCCAGAACACCTTTACTTTATAAATAGTATCTAGAGTTTTTGAGAATGCTTATTTCTTGAAGTCTTTCCCTCTCCTTTTAATGTAGCAATTACTTTTCTAAAATAGGAAGTTTTGTTGAGATTTTTCATTTAAATAAAAATTAAAAGCAAGTGAATTACATGTGAAAACAATTCTGAATATTTAGTTAAATGTTTAGGTATTCATTTCAACTTTCCAAGTTAGCTTTTAGAGTATATAATTAAGAAAGTTAAGGTGTGGATAACTTGTCATGGCTTACAATTTCATTTGACAATTAACAAATACATACGTGTTTTTAAAAAGTTTATAAAGTTCATTTGTTAAGCCACGAAGGCCCCAAAGATCTGAAGGATAGAAATATTTTGAAAAAGAACATTCTCTGGAAAATCCAGTTGCTGTTTACTCAAGAATCCACCGGAGGTCATTGCCGCCCACCAGTATTAATTGAAAACAGCATGTATTTCAGTAAAATCCCGCCCAATGTGGAGAAATAGAACCATAACCAGAGATCACGGGGTCCCTCGCAAAGTTCATGTCTGAACTACTCAAAGTGAACAGATAATTCAGTAAAGCACGATTTATTGAAAATATTCAGAAAAGGAAAAAGGAAAGCAGGATTTTCTCTCATCCTCAGATTTTTTTAAAGTAAGGCAGATATCACGCATGTAGTTGACGTTTTAATCCCCAAAGCACATATAAGCGGTTGGTAACAAGGATAACAGTAATGTCATTTATGAGGCAAAGTATTTCGTAACTGAAGAGATAAGGCTGAGGAAAATAACTTTTCTACGATAATAAGTCTTAAGAATTAAATATGCCTTGAAACTATTCAAGGAAAATTAGATGACCGTTAAGGAGAGGGAGGTTTTTTAAAATGCTAATTTGAGAGCATCCTGATAAGAAAATTTTGAGGGCTCCAGTCTACCGTTTAGTGAAAGCACTCAATTTCCATATATATATACTTTTCTCCCTTTTCTTAGTCTCACTCTCTGCCTTTCTCCATGGGCAGGAGCAGTGCACCCCAGGCACACATCACCATGTACTTTCGGATAAAGCTGTATCGCCCTCTCGAAAGACAAACCAACAACGTATGTTGCTCGATCCTTCTTGACAATCTGAAACATGCCACAGAACGCCTGCCCAGGCTTTTATTCTGTCTGGCGTCCGAATTCAAATTCAGAGTCTCCTTTGAGAGATGTCCAGGCTTAGGAAATCACTACTGTGTTGATCAGGTTTATCCTCTCGTTCTTCAACTCAGGAAGGGCACGTGCTTAGCTACCTAAAGACTTGGAGGAATTCAAGAGTCTGCCCAGACTCGCCACATTTTCCCCCAGACAGAGAGAGACCTGGTGAAGAGAAACCATGCCCTGTAGGAACAGACATTGAGCTGAGAAAGAATCATAACCACCCATCCTAGGTTCAAAGAGGCACCTCCATGTAGGATCAGTCTCCCGCTCTTTCAGACCTCTGCTACGTTGTGCTCTGGAAGCAGAGAGGCCCGGTGGATAGCATGGAGCCTTGATGTCAAGCAGTGCACACCTCCCCGTTCACTCCTATGCCACCTGTTGAGCCAGAGATGCGGGTTTGTTAGCAAGGAGTATTACATCTCCAAGAGGGTTCACTTCATGATCTGTGAGGTCTCTTCCGTGTCTAACACTCTTCATTGCTAATTTGTTTCCTAGGTGTTTATTACTGAATATTTCCACGCAAAGCTATTAACTTGGAGAAACAGGGATTAAAATAGAAATAAACACGCGTAAGAGCTCTACGTAAAAGGGAACAGAGAGTCTTTGCCTGTTTAGTAAGTGGCAATTCTGTATATATTTTAGGGCTTTTGTCTTTCCCCAAATTAGTTGAACACTTAGGGTGTTTTTATTGAGTGTTTAATATTCGCCATAGGGTGTAGGGCTTTGTAAATCTTCCTAGCGATTATGAGCATTTGTAAAATTTGTAAAATACGATACATTGTTCTGGGTGTCGATGTTAAGCATGAAACAAACGCAACAGCTGTTGTCCTTATAAGTGAGTTGTCTTTAGCCTGACGGGGACATTAGGAGAACTGCTTAGCGTTGTGTGGATACTTGAGATCCCAGGAGAAAGTCTTTGCAGTTATGATGACAATAAGGAGTCGATGTTCTTGCTCTCACAGCACAGTATCATCACATCGAGTTGCTTTTTCAAAAGCAGTGCTCATTTCTCAGGCCGACACCTGTTGCGTTTGAATCAGTTATAAATAATAGATTTTCCATGAATACTGTTTTGATTAGAGTGTGTTATTTAAGCTGGTATGTTTATTTTTTCTTGGGAAGGTACTGTTATATTTTGGCTCTCATTATAATTGAGTGTGTTCTGTGTTCTCTTGTGTTTAAATGGCTCATGGCTAGAGTACTACTGTATTGGGGTGTTCTGGCCTCTATGGCTTCCTTTTATTCGCCTGGGCCCATAACAGCATGTGCTTTCGCATTTCTTTTCACTGATTGTAAGCCACGAGACTTATTATCATCTAGTGGTAAGATACAAAGACCATGGACAGTGAGTCTCTGACTAGCATATGAATTTGCCGCTATGCACTGAATAATTTGCCTGTACTATTATGTACAATTTGTATTTAGCTCAACTTAGATGCTAAACAAATAAATATTTACTAAACCCTTAAGTGCTGTCCGAGGAGTATTTCCTAAATTTTTTACCCGTTAAACTCGTTTCATAATGTGTCAAGCCTAAACATAAACATTCAGTGCTAGACCAGTGTCCGTTTTCTTTAAGAAGGTAGAAGAGGATTCAATTCTCTGTCCTTAGAAATTGGTAAGTCAACTGCCTTAAGGAGGAAAAAGTCCATTCACTGTCTCATTACATTGAAGCCTGTGGGTCTCTTTCTGCCCATCATGTTTCTCAGACCAGCAACCTGAAATTCCTTTCAAAGCTGCATCGCCCAGATAAGAGATATGGGTAATGAATGCTTTTGAAATGGTAACAAGTAGGATATTTACAATTTGTGCAGGCCTCAACATTTACCTTAATGTATGCCAATTGTTGTTTTCTCTGCTATTTTTATTAGACCTTGGAGAGGTCATTTAAATGCGATTTGGTGGTAAATGAATCTCTCTTTGAGAGTTCTGTTTTTAAGGCAAATTTTGTTGTTTTGGTCCATAATTAGCTACAGCGTTTTAAAGCAAGAATCTGGCAACAGCTTCCAGATAGTGTTTCTGGTGGCTTTATGATAGGACAACGCCATTAATGATAATGGCTTATATTTGTTTCAAGCTTGCACTCGTTTATAATACAGAGCCTACTTCCAGTATAGTTTTTAAGGAACCCATTGAAACTGCTCTTTCGATATACACTCAGTCATCAGTCCAGGGAAAATAGAGAAACGGTTATGGTCACAGTACTTTCTTGCGTATTATTCCAGGGAACAAAAACACGCACCCATTTTTTTTTATTCAAACACTATACGCCAGGCACTGGAACAGGTGTTTCCTAAAGTGTAGAAATGTTAATAATGCCATTAAGGTATATGAATAAAGAAAAATTGACTTGTGTTTGTTCTGAGAATGTGTTTACAGCTTTTATTGAAAACATACCAAATCCTATTTTTCACTTGATGCGGCTTGAAATACGATAAGAGCACAGCTTTTTAGGGGCGCCAGGGTGGCTTGGTGGCTTAAGCATTCACCTCTTGATCTTGGCTCAGGTCGTGATCTCACGGTTTCGTTTCTTGGAATCCTGTGTCCCCGTGTGTCGAGGCTCTGAGCACTGACCTCACGGAGCCTACTTGGGATTCTCTGTCTCCCTCTCTCTCTGCTCCTCCTCTGTTCATGCTCTGTCTCTTTCAAAATAACTAAGTAAATAAATTTTTAATGTTTACTTATTTTTGAGATAGAGACAGAGACAGAGATGGGGCGAGAGGCAGAGAGAGTGAAACAGAATCTGAAGCAGGCTCCAGTCTCTGAGCTGTCAGCACAGAGCCTGATGCAGGACTCAAACTTGTGAACCATGACCTGAGCCAAAGTAGGACTCTCAACCGACTGACCCATCCAGGTGCCCCCATGTATTTTCTTATAGCAGGCGTGGCAGACGAATACTTGAAGGAAAGGAAAGAAGGCACAAAGGTTAAGCATAAAGAGAAACATGCAAAATAAGCCTGCTATATAAGGTAATATAATAGGTATATAATATATAATATAAATAATAAAAAAATATATAAAGGTATATAATAAGGTAAATATTCCAAAACATCTGAAAATATCTAAAGTTAAGTAAACAGTGACATGTGGGAAAAGTGCCCTCTCAGCAATGATGACTGTTGGCTTATATCAATTTCCAAATTGTAGGTGGTTCCAAACTGTAGCTGATTTCTTCTCTGTGGATCAGAATTAGGTTTCTGGGGATGGAAAATACAAAATTATAAACTCAATTTTCAACCAAAAAAAAACCAAACCAAAAACAACAAAGAACTAGTGATAAGTGAAATGATCTCTTGGAGATTATTCCATGAATTCTATCTGCTTTAAAAGATGTTAAAGAATTTCTTATTTTACATGTTTGTTTGTTTTAAGCAGCGCAAAACAACTCAAATTTATTATCTGGTGATTTTTATAAGTCAGAAGTCAAGGCACATGTCTCAGCTGGATTCTCTGCTTAAGATCTCAGCAGACCAACGTCAACGCACCAGCTGCCCGGCCTTGGGAAAGAACCATGTAATTGGGAGAATTCTCGTTCCTGTTGTTCTAGGGCCAAGATCCCTGTCCCTGCCCTGCATACTGAATGTCACCAGTGGACTGTCGAGTCCTTCTGAGGCTTGGGATCTCTGAGTTTCTCCACAGAATTTCTCTGCCTCCAGCTGGAGAGAGTTCTCTGCCGTTAAGGTATGTGTGATGAGACTGGACCCACCCAGTTAATCCAGACTAATCTCTCTCTTAAGATTTATGACCTCAATTACATCAGCAAAGTCCCTTTTGTCATGCAACACAACTGTATTTTCAGGTTCTGGGGATCAGGATGTGGCCATATTTGGAGCAATGTAGTCCATTCCCTGGCCTCCCAAAATTTACATTCTTCCCAAATGCAAATTACGTTGATCTCATCTCAAGGTGCCCAAAGTCTTCATTCTGTTATAGCGTCAGCTGAAATGTCCCAAATCTCATCATCTATCTTCTAAATATGGTGCAGATGAGGCCTTTGATATAATCTCTCAAATACTCACTAGGGTACAATTTCTTTCTACGTGTGGCTCTGTGAAACTGAAGGAAACAGTTATCTGCTTCCAACATACAATGATGGGACAGACATAGAGCAATAGTTTCTAGATATTCTGGCTCAAACAGGGAGAAAAATGGTAGGTCAAATGGAGTCATCATCCAAAGCAATTTAATAATTCAGCAGTTTAATAATTAGGTTTCAAGGCCTGGGAATATTCTATGGCTCTCGCCTTGGCCCTGAGTTTACATTTTGCCCTCTGGACTCTCCACCCGCACCCTCTGGATTCCTAAATGGCTCAGGTAATTTTTATCATTTTTCCCTCTGCTCTCCTGGGCATTGACTTTGCCCAGCAGATGGTCTAGGTATCTTTTTTTTTTTTTTTTTTTTTTTCACAAAAGGCGCTAAGGACAGTACTCAAGGAAAGATTATCTGTTAATCCCCAACCAAACCAAAGCCAAAAGACTTCCACACCAGCCAGGATCGTGTCAGCACCCACATCAGAGAATCCGGGAAAGGTAGGTTCTAACCTTACACTAGGAACCAAGCATAGCTATCAGAAAAAAAAAAAAAGACAGTGGCAGAGGGAGATAATGAGTAGAAAAAAGGCATCATCTGCTACAGACATCATCTGTTGAGGCAACAAGTAAATTGAAAAGTTTAAATTAAAATTAGTAACACTGATGTGGTATAGGCAAGGAACTCATCCATCCTCCTGAACTGATAATTTAGAGATTTAACACTCTGCTTAAAAATCCAAATTTTGGCAAAACATTATATTCAGGCAATGTAAAAAAAAAAATCTATTATTTTGTTGGTAAATTCTACACATTTGAAGTTCTGCCACAATAGTTGATGAGAAAGTTGTATTTGGGCAAGCTCTCTGAAAATATGTTAACTGTGGTTAAAGAGTCATTTTACATAATTGAAGCAAAAGGGCAAAATATTGATATCAAAAGGAGTATTTGGAATTTACATTTTATAAGACATAAAAGGACAGCACAATTTTTTTTTCTCATCATGCATTTCTTAAAGAACAGATGGCAAAAGCAGAGACACTTTTGGAACATTCTTGGAATGTCTGTGCCTTGTCAGCTTTGTCACTGTTCATATTAGGAAATTTGGTCTCATGGACAGTACAGCAAAAAACTCCAGAAATGTGTGAAAGGTATCCTCAATGAAGCCAGCAGAATGCAATTCTAGTTGTCATGTTGACAGACCACTTAGAAAACCCATTTAGTTTCTCTGCTTCCAAATATGTAAAACATATTTTGGCTACCAAATATGTAAAATGAAGTGATTGGACCAGATGAATTTGGAATACTTACCGTTTATAACATTGTTTGATCCTATAAAAAGGGATCCAAAGACTATGTTCAAGTACATACAGAGAAAAATCAAACTCTTTGGTATGGAGGCCAAAATACTTTATCTTTAAGCTGTTATTTTTAAAGCTCTATTGACACTAAGTTGATGTAAAATAAACTGCACATATTTAAAATGTGCAATTTGCTGAGTTTTCATATATATGGACATCTGTGGAACTACTACAATCAAGATAACAAATACATCTATTATGCCCCCAAATATCCTCACGCCCCTTTTTCATTTCTTTCTTTCTCCCCACCCCTCCCCATGCCAGGGCAACCACTTCTCTGTTTATGATACTATAGAGTAGTTTGTGATTTCTAAATTGTAGGCAAGTGGACACAATACAGTACATTCTCTATTTGTCTAGCTTCTTTCACTAAGCATAATTATTTTCAGATTCTGCCCAGTTGTTGAATGTCTCCGTAATGTGTTTCTTCTTATTACCATTGTGATGGGTATACAAATACGTGATGGACTCCATTTCTTTTCATCTATTACAAATAAAACCGCTTTGAACCCTCATGCACAAGTCTTTGATAGATATAGCCATTTATTTGCCCTGAGTAGAAACCTAGGAATGGAGTTTCTAGAGTGTGTAGTTGGTGTATATTTAACTTTTGAAGAAACTGCCAAATTGTTTTCCAAAGTAAGTGTACAATTTTGCCTTTCTACGAGCAGCATATGAGAGTTTCATTTCCTCTGTATCTGTACTAACACTTGGTATGTTCAATCTTTTCAATTTTGGTCATAATTCTAGTATCTCATCATGGCTTTTTATTTGAATTAACCCAATGACTGACAATGTTGAGCATCTTTTTGTGTGCTGATTTGTTATATGTTTTTTTGGGGAACATGATTTTTCAAATATGTTGCCCATTTTTCTTTGCCTGTTATCTTCTCATTATTAAGTTTCAGGAGCTCTTTATATATTTTAGACACACAGTTTTTGTTAGATATAAATTTTGTAAATATTTCTCCATCTTCATGTTTTCATTCATTTTGGTAACAACGTCTTCGCAACAAACATTTTTACTAAGTCCAGTTTTTGACATTTCAAGTATTTTGTGTTGAATTTAAGAAATCTAT